GGAGAGAGAGACAGAGAGAGAGATGGAGAGAGAGACAGAGAGAGAGATGGAGAGAGAGACAGAGAGAGAGATGGAGAGAGAGAGACAGAGAGAAAGAGGCAGAGAGAGTGAAAGAGAGGGAGAGAGCAAGAGAGATGGAGAGAGAGATGAAGAGAGAGAGAGTGGGAGAGAGAGAGGGAGGGAGAGAGAGACAGAGAGAGAGAGAGGGAGAGATGGAGAGAGAGAGAGATAGAGAGAGAGAGAGAGAGAGACAGAGAGAGAAAGATGGAGACAGAGAGAGACAGAGAGAGACAGAGAGAGAGATACATAGAGAGCGAGAAGAAGAGAGAGAGAGACAGAGAGAGATGGAGGGAGAGAGGGAGAGATGGAGAGAGAGATGGATCAAATGTGTCCGTCTCTCTCTCCCTGTTTTATAGACACAGACTTTTTGATGCCTTCAGGTTCACAGAAGAAACCAGCATGGAGACCATCAGTCCCAGTTTGCTTTACTGGTTTTAAACTATAATCACTAAACAGGAAGAGGATGGATGAATGAATAAATGGATGAATGAATGAGTGAACAGATGAACAGATAAATTGATGGTGATTTTAATGTGCAGTGACCTGACCCGCCAGCCAGCAGGGGGCAGCAGATCTCCAGCAGCTTCAGCCAATCAGACACAAAGCTGAAATCTAAAGGTTGATGAAGGTCTGATTCTGATGAAGCTGATGATGAAGCTGATTTTATGTGATTCTGTAGCTTTAATAATCCAAACTAAAGCGGAGCATCGGGGCTCTGTACCTTGGTTGGCGTGTTGGCCGTGGCGAAACGCGAGTACCAGCGGCTGGCCCGTTCCGCCACGCCCTTCCCAGCAGAAACCACGCTGGTCTTGAAGACGTCGAGCGTCGGGGTGAGCAGGGCGTCCAGGGCGAAGGCGGAGGAGGACGGCGAGGCCAGGCGCTCCCTGAAGGGGCTCAGGCTGGGGCTGGTGCTGGAGCTGCGGCCCGACGGCGACGACATCAGCCGCTGGCGGGACGCGGGCCGGGCCGGCGACGCCTGGTGGAAGGTGCGTGAGCGCGGCACTGCGCTGGTCCTGAGTGGAGCGGCGTGGGGCAAGCTGGACCTCCGGAAGGCGGCGGCAGCGTGGGGGTGGAGCAGCAGCGGGCTGGCCGGGCCCTGCAGCTCGGAGCTGGACGTGCGGCTGCTCAGCGGCGTGTCCAGGTGGCTCATGTACAGCTCGATCTCCCGGGCCAGATTACGGCGGGCACCCGGCGCTCTGGCCTCGTCACCATCCGGGTACGCGGCGCTCTGCGACTCGGCGGCCATCAGGGAGAGCGGGTCGAAGCCCATTTCGATGCAGGTACGCATCACAGCTCCTCTGGGTGCCGCCGAGCTCATGCCACCGTAGCTGGCGCTGCGCTCAACGGGCTTTTTAAGATGTCTGACCCCGAGAGACGGCTTCTCCAAGTCCAGATCCTCAAAATCAAAAATGGCTTCCGTGTTACTCTTATCTTCATCACTGTAGCTTTGTTCCTCTTCCTCTTTGTGATTAAAGCCTCCTAAGCGACGCTTCTGGCTGTAGTTGGTACCGGACAGGATCTTGGCGTCGGCGCCCAGCAGTCCGGCGATCTTATCAGGGTCGGTCTCCGCCTGACTCATGCCGAGGCCAAGAACGGTTGCGCCGCTGCCGCCGCTGGCCGTCGTGTCGCCGCTCACGCGGCGGGCCCGCGCCGCCTGCCAGTCCAGAGCGGCGCCGCTGCCGCAGCTGCCCACCACATCCTCCAGGGCGCTGCGGTGTCGCCGCAGCAGGCTGTTGGCGCGAACCTCACCGATCTCATCCAGAGACGTGGTGAAGAGGAGGCCAGCGATGTGGCCTGGCAGACAGCAGGAGGAAAAGAGCTGCTAAGCTAACAGAGTTATGATGTTACACCGAAGAATGGATGTGACTAAATAAAATTAAAAAATTCAATTCAATTCAAGGTGGACCAAAGTCGCAGCATTTGTTACATTTTCAGCTGCTGCTGATTTGACACAGTGTCCCTTTTCGGTGAAGTAAACCAAGTGGAGTTACCTGCGCTGGTGGAGCTCCTGGGTTTCCGGGCAGAATCCCCGTACGGATAGCTGCTCCGAACGATTCCCCGAGGCTTGAAGGAGGAGCCGGCCTCCAGGTCCAGCTGAGGCAGGCAGTCCTTGCTGCCCTTCACGCTTTCAGTCTCCGACACTGGACACGGGAAAATCAGTCGGATCGGATGATTTAAAAAAAAAACATAAAAAATCTCTGGAGGAAAGGAAGAATCATGTTTTAGTTTAGGAGAGTCGTATCGGATGAACTACTGACAGGAGCTGCAGTCGCTCTCCTTCTTCTCGTCTTTGTCGGGGGGAGCGGCGTCGCCTCTCCGAACTTCCTCCTTCGACAGAGAGTTGTAACCCAAATCCGACTGATCTCCTGGAAAACCGAAGGGAGAAAAACTGAAAGCTCAAATTTCTCAGAAAAAATAGAAATTTAAAAAAATAGAAAAGATCTGGACCAACTACGGCTTTACTCTGCACCAAAAACCAAATCTAAAAATATTGAGAACAAAAATCTACATTTCTTCCTCAGTTTCCTCTCTGGGGATCGTCAGAAAGTCCAATTATCAGCCACAGCAGGGGTCTGCAACCTTCACAGTAGCTCTTAATAATTTGGCTTAAAAAAGCTGAATTTAGTTTTTTATTTGTTTTTGTAATTCATTATTCTATTGATTGTTCTGACAATTAATCAGATAAAAAAAACGGAACATTTTGCTGATTTTTCCTTTAATATCTTAATCTTATTTTAAACAGTATTAGAAATACATTAAAAGATGCGAATAATTTGATTATTTAAGACATTTAATTGCCTAAAATGTAAACAGAATATTCCATTAGTAAATGCTTGATTCTTTGTAGCTAAAGGACCAGAAAAAAAAAGTGAAACATTTCAGCTGTTTCTGCTCGACTTATCAACACCGTGTAGAGAAAATTATTAATTTTTGAATTAACTGATTAATAATTGATAGTAAAAGTCTTTAGTATGAAAAATTACACAAGGTTTGAAGCTAATATTGAGTTCTAACTAAAACATATTTACAAACGTTTTTCATCTTATAACCATTTATATATGTTTTTGTAGAATTTTTGCATAATTACTGCTGTGAATGTTTTTCTTTCGACAAACGGCACTTTTTGAGACTCTGTATCCTCCAATTAACGATTAATCAATTGTTGACTATTACTTCAATAATCCAATTAATCACAATTAATCCAATTAATCTTTCCAGCCCTACACAGAATCTGTAATTTTTTTTCCTCACTATGTTGGAAACAACTTGATTTTTATTTCCATCATTTCCCACCATAGAAGAAGAAAACGTGTCAGTCCTCTTGTTGTAAATGTTTCATGTTTTCCTCACTTTTAAGGCCTAAAAACAGAAATAAAATGGTGGTTCTTTTAAACTTACCAAATTTCATGTAGTAGAGGTGAATTAAAAATGTTTAGTCTTTTCACAGAAGCTTAAGCAACATCTGCGGCTCTAAACGGGGAAAAACGTCTTTGGTTTGTGAAGGTTGCAGATCCCTGAGGTGGATGAAAACATCAAACCACATGAAGTGCACATCGCTGAAGTTTCTGCGAGAAAATCATGTTTTTTATTGGGCTGCTGATGAATTTGACAGCGAAACCCTCTCCGGTTCCCAAGGCAACCGTCTGTTTGGACTTTCATGTCGTCAAATCTAAAGTAACCATGAGGAGTTGCAGCTTTATGTGAAGCAAGCAGGGCTGGGCGATTTGGACTGAAAATAAAATATCTTCTTTCATACCATATCCAATTTTAATTCATTTACTTATTTTTGCTCACTTTCTTTCCTAATTCAGAAATGACAGTAATTTTTCTTTAAAAAAAAGTGTCTTTTATTTCAATCTTCCCTTCTATGATTATGTATTAGAGCCGGCCTGTGAGAAGTTTTCTTTTCTGACGAGAATATGGTCATAGTTTTAGAAAAAACATCTGAAGATTATGAGAAAAAAATTGTTTTAATGAGAAAAAAGTTTAATAATCCAGATTAGAAGTGATCAGCTTAGTTTGTGCTCCTTTCTTCGACTCGGTCGTTTTAAACCCTTGATTAGAATTTGATGCTGATCTATTAAAATATTCACTATTTTTATTAAGTATTAACTCTGAAACTATATAATCTACATATAAGTTAGTATAAATATAACTTTACAAAATGTTTGACATTCCACATTTAAATTTTTTGGGTATATTTTGTGTTGGAGTTCTCACAAAATTATTACTTTATTCTAATATTATGAGTTAATTCTCCTAATTAAAAAATAATCTTAGCTGACGCTTACATTTTGTCGAAGAATTGACTTGAATTCAAAGTCCAAATAAGTAAAAGCTGTAAAACAAGATGGCCGCGACTCTGAAACCCACGGAGAGCATTGATGAAAAAATATAAATTTTCCAAAAATTAAATATTCAAAAGACAAAAATTAGATTAATCAATAAAATCTATCGATCACCAAGCCTTAGATACCAATTTAAAAAGCATCTTTTCTTCTCTGAAGTAATAGGTGAGCTGCACATCCATCATGTTTAGCCGTTACCTCTCCATCTTTGAGCCAGGCCGCCCGCAGAGACGCGTCTCCATTATTAAAGTGATAATCAAACAGAATATGCCTCTGGGTAATTACACGCCATAATTAACAAAGACAAAAACACTGACAGGGCTGAGAGTGAAGAGCGGGAGAGGAGTAGACGGATGAGTCGGAGAGAGGAAAGACAGATCACACGACAAGCTGCGTTTCCATTACAAATGTAAGCAAAACTTTGTCTATATTCCACTAATGTGAAAAAAAAACAACAATTTCACACCTGTGGTGTTTCCATTAAATAAGAAATGTAACTAAGATTGGCGCGTTTCCATTAATTTCAATTCGTACAATTTTATGGTTAACAGAAACACAGCTAACAGCAGTTCTACGGTTTCCATTAACTGTAGGATTGCGCAAACTGAAATTACAAAAATAAATTTGCTTAATGGAAACACGCAATTTTGTTTTTCAATATAACGTTTTTGTACCAGGATGATTTTTTATTTTTTTTGGCACTATCAAAATTTGTGTATTTCACAAAACTGCAATGGAAAAACTTTTTTCACATCAGACAGGTCATGTGATCAACAACAGGATGTTACTACTGGCAGAAACGCCGAAGAAGAAGACGAAGACAGGAAGTGGTTCAGCATATTTTTAAATCTCGTGAACAAACTTATTCATGTGTGATTTTAATTGCATTTCTTCTTTAATAAAAACAAATTTGCAAAGTTGTTGTCTTTTTTAGATTAGTGAAATTGCTCACAACTGTGATGGAAACGCAGCTGGTGACTTGGAAAAGAAGTGAGAAAAACCCCGACAGATGCAGAGGAGGATAAAGGAGGCGGGCTGGTTGAGAGGTTTACCTGGGTGGAGAGTGGCTTCTCTGAGCTCAGCGCCCACCCAGGGAGAGCGGGCCGCCACGGGCCTGGCCCCCGCGCTGTCGCCCCCGCCGCCCACTGCATGCAACGGCAGCACAGGCAGGGCCAGAGTGAAGGGTTACGCACAGAGCAGAGCAGAAACCACAGCCGAGGAGGAGGGACAGACAAAACGAGCGCCAGAGGGAGGGATGGAGGGAAACGAAGAGGAAAACGAGTGGAGCGGAGTACAAAAGAAGGGAGGATTAACAAAAAGGTCAATGAGAGAAGAGGAAAAGAAAAAAAACGATATGAAACATGAGGACTGCCGGCGGCAGCGAGCGTCTGAGGTGTACCTGTGCTAGATCTATCGTCAGAGGGTTCTACTGGGCTCTGCTCGGCCGGGTTCGGGTCAGCAGAGCTGTCCAGACTGCCGTGACTCACAGCGTCCAGGTCGCTGCCATCTGCCCAGAAACAACAAGCTGGTGAACAAAGATGGCGTCGCCACAGATCCACGCGCCGGTTCGTTAAAAACGCCTTCCTGGAGTTCACCACGTTTACCCAAAACGACTTAAAGGAGAATCAGTCGATTCCAGAACTCTGAACCGGTTTAAACCAGTTGGGGATAAAAACATCAGAATGAATGAATGAATGAATGAATGAATGAATGAATGGATGGATGGATGGATGAATGGATGAATGAATGAATGAATGAATGAATGGATGGATGGATGGATGGATGGATGGATGGATGGATGGATGGACGGACGGACGGACGGATGGACGGACGGATGGACGGACGGATGGACGGTAGGTTGGTTGGTTGATTGAATGGATGGACAGACGGACGGATGGATAGTTGGTTGGTTGGATGAGCAGACGGTTGGATGAACAGATGGTTGGATGCATTTTAAACTGCAGTTTTAATTATTTTCTATTATCTATAATTTTTCCTAATGGATTCAGGTCGTATTTATAGAAGATGTAAAGAGGATCAGTAAGAAAAAAAAAACTTCTGATCAGATTTTATACTCCATCTCTGGTTGGATGAAGCGGTTGGATGAACAGACTGTTGGATGAAGCGGTTGGATGAACAAACAGTCGGATGAAGCGGTTGAATGAACAGACGGTTGGATGAAGCGGTTGGATGAATAGACGGTTGGATGAAGCGGTTGGATGAATAGACGGTTGGATGAAGTGGTTGAATGAACAGACGGTTGGATGAACAGACTGTTGGATGAAGCGGTTGGATGAACAAACAGTCGGATGAAGCGGTTGAATGAACAGACGGTTGGATGAAGCGGTTGAATGAACAGACGGTTGGATGAAGCGGTTGAATGAACAGACGGTTGGATGAACAGACTGTTGGATGAAGCGGTCGGATGTCTCTTCCAGTCGATCCTCCAGAATCAAGCCTTCAACCCTTTTATGATATGTTTATAATAAACTTTGACCAGCAGCTCAGAGTAACGAGGAAAAATCTCAGGCTGGTGTTTAACTGGTTGTGTCCGGGCGGATCAGAACCGGACTCGGGTCAGGACCCACAGCGCAGCTGGTAACAGGGAGGATCTTTAAAAAAGCAGGGATTAGCAGGCTGGGATTATCATGCAGAGGAAGAACGGCCACAACAGAGACGCTTCAGTTCACAGATTATTTAACACCACAGCAGGCTTCTAATTAATCTGTGTTTTAATTATGTGTTGGTTAATTTATTTAACTTTTGTTATAAAGAATGTATATTTTTCCAATATAAAAGAATCTAAATTTATTTATAGTTTATTTTAACTTGTAAAAAGACAAAAATCCCAACATCTTTTATAAAATGGTATTTTTTAAAAAATATGTTGGATTATTTAACATTTATGTTTAACAAACATTTATATTTATGTTTATGTTGCATTTATTGAATTCAATATTTAAATTAATTAAATAAAAGAAAAGTGCATATTAATCATTAGTTAAGCCTAACAGTAGGTCTTTAAAATGAAATTAGTTAATTTTTTAAATTTACTTAAATTAATTAAAAAAGCTAAAGAAAAAGGAACAAAAACCTAAAATTAAATACAAATAAATTGCGTCTTAAACTGTGCATCACACTCTACAACAATATAACTTTCTTGGCTCTTTTATCTTGATTAAAATTTCTCAGAAATATGGAACAACGTTAATAAATTTTCTCTAAGTTGATAAAAATTTTGTCAGATTTTTTTTTCAGACATTAAATGCTTTAAGATCTGAGAAATGCTGTTCAGAGTTGCATCACAGGTCAGAAATCCAAACCGCAAGGATAATTTACACTTATAAAGTGTGGTTATGTGGAGTATTAATGAGCAGTCATTATCTAACCGCAACAGCAATCAGAGCGATTTCAGTTTGGAAAATCAGGAAGAAATTTTAACGGAGAAATCAGGCTAAAAGATAATCAAAGGGCGTTAATTTAATAAGCAAAAATTCAAGATTTTACAGTGCGATCTGAGCTGTTGAATATGTTTGGATTTTAATAACAAATAGAAAATATTTCAGACAACTCAAATATTTAACCTGCTGATCATTTGAAATGGAACTGTATTTTTACTGTCTGGCCTGCATTTTCCTGTGGATACGAGACGTTATCGGTTGCCGTTGGTAACGTTTATAGGCTGGTTACCTGACAGCGGGCTCTGGGTGAGTGGCGGTCCGTGTCGGCGCAGAGCTCGTTTGAACTGAGCCACGCCCAGAATCACGTTCCTCAGCTTCATCCATAGGAAGTATCCTCCTCTGGTGCTGGAGGGCCACGTGCTCTCCAGCACCGCCTACACACAGGACAGGAAAGTTTGGTGGAGGGAAAAAATACTGGATATGTTTTATGAATCTATCAATGTTACATTTTTTTTGTTGTTTTCAAAGAAAAAAGGTTTAAAATTTTGATTTTTGAGAATTAATTTTACCATTAAATGTCATCGGAACATTCTGAGGGATTTAAATTGGGCCTAATTCATTATTGACCAAGTATGGCTGAAATGATTCATCAGATTAATCGTGATTAATTGATTATTGAAATAATCAGATTATTTTTGGGCAGCAGAAAGAGCTGAGTTTTAGAAGTATTTTTTTAAGCTTCAGATTCATCCTTTGCTTAAATGATCAAGAGTTCGCTAAAGAAATGCTGTGGTTGAATTTTAGGAAACAAAATGTTTATTTTCCAATAAAAAAAAATAGTTTATTTCTTTATTTTAATCTTTTACTGCATTTCTAATATTCTATGAAAATATAAATGAAAAATCTGTAGAATATTCTAAGATTTTTATCCGATTAATCAATATAATAAATGATTATTAAAGTAATCCGTTAGCTGTAGCTTCACTGCAGTAATTTACAGTAATGAAGGAAAAATTGACCAACTGAAGAAAACTTTCAATTTCCATTTAAAATAAATAAAAGTATAAGTGAAACTGAGCAGAAACATTTTACTAAACTATCTGTTCTTAAATGAAAAATGTGGACTAATTCGAACATTCAACATTTAATTTTTAAATTAAATCTAAATATTTTTCATGTGAAAATCTGCACCACATTGTAATTATATCTCTTGTTTCTTGATGAGTTGCTGCAGCCGTTTGGACCGGACCGGGTTTGTCTGCAGAGTGTGACGATTTTCTGGTGCTAAGATCTCACTGATTATCACATCGCAGCTATTTATTCTGCTAGCGCTAGCCTCATAATCAGGGGTCAAACGCTTCACTAATCAACACATCCACACCTCAAAGGGGGCAGGAAGATGCAAGGAGACATTTCTGCAAAGAAAATTAAGATATTAAGATGTTTGTTGTATAGAAAAATCTCCATGTTGGTCATTATTATGCAGCAGTTTATGCTGAATATGGCTGATCCAACTCTTCCTGCTGTGGCCTCGTCTTCCTGACGGATCGCAGAGGTGTGATTCATCCGGACATGAATGAGTGAAGACACAAGGCTGATCAACCTTGGAGGGAAACTGTGGTGCATTCTGGGTAACAACGGTGGAGTGATTCAATAATCTGAACATGATTAATAATGAATAAAGGATCAACATCAAGGCTGAAGTCGTCTGACTCCCGAGCTCAATGAGTTCAATCCGTTACTCCTTTCATTTCCACTTTTTATGAAGCAACTTTTATTCCTGTTGAACGTTCAGACCTTCAGGTTTTGCCACACTCAAATTTCCAGTAAGGCTGACACGATTAATTGGATTAATCATGATTAATCGATTATTGATATAATAATAATAAGAAAGAAAAACGTATTCAGAGCAGCAATTAAACCCAAACTAGAAAAATCATGGATAAGATATTAAACACCTCAGTCTGTAAATATGTTTTAGCCAAAACGCCTCACTTTTAGTCTCAGGTTTAAAGAATAAAAAAAGTCACATTAGTGTTTGAAGTTTTGAAATTACTTATTTTCCAGACACCAAATATTGTCAAAAACTGGCTGGGATGCTTTTTCTTAAACACTTTTTTTAAAAAGCTGTTTGTGTTAGAAATGTGCCGATCCACTTTCTTCACTTCTAATACCAATATCTGAGTTTTATCGGCCGATACCGATCAGATACTGAATTGATGTAAAACATTTCTTTTTAAAAAAAAAAAAACACTAACATAAATGTACTGAATTAGAAATTTATTTGTTAACTCTGCATCAGTATAACTCACTTTAATATACAAATAGCTTCACAAGTTTGGTCAGATATGGAAAAACAATTTTAATTTGTTCAGTGAGTGAACCCGATCTAATTCTTTTAAATATCGGGACCAATACAGATATTAATATCGGATCAGTGCATCTCTAGTAGAAACCCAATTGGAACATGCAAAATGTGAATTTTCTATAATCTTTAAAGTTCGTTTTGTCAGATCAGCTCTGTTTGCGTTTCTGCCGGTGAACATTTTGGTGAACATACCTTGTTGTAGTATCCGTAGGTGATGGCGTTGGGGTGAACGCCGGCCTTCTTCATCTCAAACAGGACTCTGACCGCCAGGACCGGCTGGCCGTACTGCCCACACAGCTGCATCAGGACCCGGTAGCACACCTGCAGGGAAACCTGTGTGACCGCTTTGCTCCGACGCAGCTGATTGGCCGAACAGGAAACGGCTCGTCTACCTCGTCGGGCGGCTGCAGCTTCTTCGCCTGCATCTTCCTGAGGACGTCGTAGGCGGTGCGCAGCGCCCGCACCTTGGAGTGGCACACCTTGACGTACGCCGGCAGGCAGATGAACCACAGGCCGTAGCAGTGGCGCAGCAGGCACTTGGACCACAGCTGGGGGATGGACGAATACTTCTTGGCGATCTTCTGCGCTGATTTAATCTCCTGGGGGTGAAAACCAGGAAGCATGAAGAGCTCCAAGAGCTCTGGTAGATGGTCGTGTTGCCTTCAGAACCAGCAGATGGATGGGCAACCCAACTGGCTGCTGATCTCCATGTTCCTGGAGAACCTTCTCCTACCACACTTTTTCCTTCCACTCAACTTTCTATGAATATGCCATAGCTTTTCCATAAAATTCAGATTATGTTGGGCACCGATTTTAGGTTTTCATTCACTGCACTGTAAAAACACAAAATCTTATCCAGTATTCTTGTCTGGTTTCTAATGCAAATACCTTATTATACTAGAAACTTTCTGAAATAAATTACACAAAAAAAAAACATTATCATTTTTTAGATGTACCTGGAAGAGATTTTACAAGATATAATCACAGCAAACGCCTCTTCTTCCAGATTAAACTGTCTTTAGAGCAGGAAGTAGGTTACTGCTGCTCACCTGTTTGGTGCGTCTGAACATGGGGGCGGGGCTTGTGGGGCAGCTGTGCCTGGCAGCGAGGCGGGAGGAGGGCGTCCGCAGGCCCTCCACCGGGTCAAACAGCTCCAGAGTTAACACCGGGAAACCGTCATACCTGCAGGACCACAACATGTTAAACGATCCGTCAAAACGTTACGGAAACGTTACGGAAACGATTCAGAAACGTTACAGAAACGATTCGGAAAAGTTACGGAAACGATTCAGAAACGTTACAGAAACGATTCGGAAAAGTTACGGAAACGATTCAGAAACAATACGGAAACGATTTAGAAACATTACAGAAACGATACGGAAACGATACGCAAACGTTATGGAAACGATACGCAAACGTTATGGAAACGATACGCAAACGTTACAGAAACGATCTGCAAACGTTATGGAAACAATTCGGAAACGATTCAGAAATGTTGCAGAAACGATTCGGAAACGTTACGGAAACGATTCGGAAATTATTTGGAAACATTATGGAAACGATACGGAAACGATTCGGAAACGTTGCGGAAACAATACGGAAACGATCCGTCAAAGAAGAAAAGGGAGAGTTCATTTCCACCAAAAACCTCAGAAATCTTGAGATTAATGTCAGACATTTTCTAAATTGTCTTTTTTGGAATCTCGGATCTTGAAAATTAAACATTTTCTAGAACAAATGTTCACTTATGAAACTCAGAAAAATTTTCTACTTTTGAAATGCAGAAATGTAAGTTTTTTCTAGAAAATTTCTTAAATCAATCTCAAAATTTCTGAAAATTTTCAAGGCAATTTTCAACATTTCATTCTCAAAAATTTCCAAGTTTTTTGTAGAGAATATATGAGATTAAACTAAAACAGAGTTTATTGGCAGAAATTTATTCCTTTTTGTTCTTCGTATGTTCAGGCTTTTAATCAAATGTCACATTGGACTTTATTACAAAATGGCCGTTTGAATCTCAAGCACTTTAAAGACTTTATACAGAAATAATAAAATTCAAGTATTTTCCAGAATTTCATGAGCCCTTGGCTAAGTGCTTTTCCACGCCTGACAGACGTTGCAAACCAACCAAAAACTGTCCAGAAAACGGATGAGAAGGAGATGAAAGCCCACCCAAATGGTCCAGTCGGTACCTGTAGCAGAGCGGGTACTCCTCCCCGTCAGGCAGCGGCGGCAGCTCTGGAGGAGTGATGAACACCGTGTGCTCGCTGCGCTGCGACTCATCGATCTCGATCAGCCGCGTCTCATCCGGCCGCTCGCCGTCCACCTGCAGACCGCAGCACACAAACAGGGAGAGAGATTCCCAATTTACAGACTCTTTCATCCATCTCAGCTGAAGAGACGGCGATTTATTTATTTACTTTATTCCGGGGATGGACAATATATTGGTATCATCAGTCATTTTTTAATGTATCGGTAAATAAAACCAGGTTGATATTAACGACCAACATTTGTTTTCATCTTGTTGCCATTTGTTTCTGGTCGTTTTCTTTCCAGTTGTGAAAGTAGCATCTTCCTTATTTCTATTATCATTTCATAGCAATAGCTAGCTTTACACTTGCTAGCTGCCTAGCTAGCAAGGGAATATGAAATGAAATGAAATGAAATGAAATGAAATGAAATGAAATGAAATGAAATGAAATGAAATTTTTTTTATTCGAACATGATACAAATATAAAATAAAATAGTGCACAGTAACAAGAAGTGCATAAGAAAGAAGAGAAAATACAGATTTTTTTGTTTCAGTTAACATATCATGCTCAAAATAGGGTAGGAAGAAGTGAGAACTCCATATTAGCTGGTTGTTAGCAGTAGCCGTAACCGCTTAGAGTCAAGATGGTTACTTGCAACAGTAAAGTCCTGCAAGAAAAAAAGAAAACTACATAGAAAGTAATATTAAATTTAACATCTCTGATCAACATATTTAAGGCAGACTTATCTTTTTTCTGTAAATTTAAGACGTTTTAAGGCTTTAATTTTAATACTTTAAGACTTTTTAAGAATGTGTGCAGATCCTGTTTTATGTATTTAATTCCTTCTCCTTTTTATTTCATGCTTTATTTTTAACTTCCTTTATCATTTATGAACCATATAAACAAAAACACATTCTGTACTGAACTGATCTGGATTCTATTTAAGACATTTTCACACATTTTGTTTTTGTGTCTGTTCATGTCATCTTAATGCCTTTAATTTATTTATTTAAATCAAAATAAGCTACAAAAAAAACCCCTGATAGAAACAGGAATGTGGCCCTGAGCAGGTGAGTAGCATCCATCTAAATCAGGATGTCACATGCATGGGTCAATGTTTGGTGAACACACCAATTAAACTCTTGTACCTAAAAAAAAAATCCTTCAGGGTAATTTAACGCTGTGATGAAGGTGAGAGAAGAGGGAGGGCGACAGTAGGTGACCTAGTTTTCCCTCTACCTCTGCAGCTTTCTCTGCAAACTGTGACACACAAAACAAATGACACCCAAATGCAAAGTAAAGCTACAATAAACACATTCACATCCATTACAGAATTAATGATATCACAGGGAAAGAGCCAGACGGAGAGAAACATCCCTAATGAAGACAGATAAAGCTCCTATAATAGGAAACAGGCAGGACAACCAGGCTAAGCTACATTTACAACGAGCTTCCTGTCTCTGTTTCATCCATGGAACAACAAATCATCTGCTACGGTCAAGCATTTTGACATTTTGCCGTTTTTATAGGTCAGCAGTAAACAGCTAGCAGTAAGCTGATGCGTAAAATCTCAGAGGTTTCATAACCGAAGGAAAAGTCTGAAAACTTCAGGAAAAAAACAGACCAGTCAAATAAAACTGATCTTTCGACAGCAAGACAAGGACAGCGTTTCGCCATCAAGACAGTTATTTGGGTTTTATTTATTTACTTATTTTGGCTAAAATTATCTTTCTTCTTCAGGAAAAGTGTCTAATTTCTAAATAAATTCCAGATTATTTTGGTAAGAATACAACTTCTGTTAAAGTTTGCTTATATGCAGATGACACTACTTTATTTTAAGAAGAGTTCCCTGTAGCTCAGCTTTAGACATTTTATTTTAAGGAGAGTTCCCTGTAGCTCAGCTTTAGACACTTTATTTTAAGAAGTTCCCTGTAGCTCAGCTTTAGACACTTTATTTTAAGAAGAGTTCCCTGTAGCTCAGCTTTAGACACTTTATTTTAAGAAGTTCCCTGTAGCTCAGCTTTAGACACTTTATTTTAAGAAGAGTTCCCTGTACCTCAGCTTTAGACACTGTTGTCAATCATTGGTAATAATATGTCAGCTGTTAAAAGTTCACCTTTATGCAGATGACATCTTTCTTTATTCAGATCACTTTACTTTGAGAAAAGCTGTTTTCAGGACCTTCAATCGCTCTTTGATTGCTTCTGATTATTGGTTTCCTTGTCAGAGTGGATGAATAGTAATTTCTTGGCTCACCTTCTACCTTCTTGCTCAATCTAGACAATGGATTAAACAATGCTTTGTGATTCTTTATTTGTATAGCCCAATAAAATATATCAAGGTCTGTGGTTGCAATATGACAAAAATGTGGAAAAGCTGAAGAGATTTAAATATTTTAAGAGAGAACTGTACATGTGAATTTTTCTTGAAAAGTATATTTAATGACAACATATGATGCCAAAGCATCAAATCTCTGAAGATTATCCAGTAGTGGCACTGAAAGAGAACATGTTTGTGCCTCAGAGATTCATCTTTTACATGCTGTTATAAATCTGTGATTCTGTCAGACGATGTGTTTGGTACAAGACATTTACAAGTCTACAATCGCCTCAGCAGGAGCATTAAATTACTATAAATCACTGTGACTCCTCACCCAAAAGATACAAGGTTACAACCACACACCGGGGGGAAATGCAATGATCCTGTTTTATTTTCCTGAGCTGCTTAGATTTAATGAGATAACTGCTGCTGCGGTGACTGGGGACAGATTGGAGATTTATGGTGGATCTAGGGAGAATGAATAGTCACAGCAGCAAGCAGAATATACTGAAAGGTGCTTAATGAAAGGCCTTAGTTGTGCAGGTGCTGATTTATCCACCGACAGAACCGAGGCGAGGCCAGGTGGGTATTAAAGTTCATAATTTAGCCTAGTTAGCCTGAAGGTAAGAAAAGACTAATAACTAAATCAGTCGAGGACGAGGTGAGGAAGAAATATCCTTTTTGCTCTCCTACTTATAGGTTGTCTTTAAACAAAGCTGAAAATTTGCAATCAGGACAAAAATGTATTTTAAAACCCAACCTTTAGATAATTACAAAAAGACAAATAAAACAATATAAAAAATAAAATGAATTATGAAGTCTCTATGAACAAAATTATCCTTAAAAAAATGGCTATTTGGGGCCAAAGCACCAGACTGAAACTTTTATCATCCAGTTTTTGATAAAAAGAAAAACAATCAATCATGCAAATGGAAATTGATTTATTTTTAATTTGTTATATGATTAATTAATTCATTGCTACAAAAAATCCTGATTGCTTCATTTGTCTAATTAAAATAGAAACACATTACTTGAATATTATATGCAAATATAACAAAATTTACCTGAATGATTGCAAATCGTTTGCAGAAGGCATCCAGCTGCATTTGTTTATTTTTGATCTTTACTGTGTTTATTATAAGGATTTATAATTACTAAAAAAAGCTCTGGTGATATTTCTAAACCGTCTCTCCTTCAGGGATCAATGAACTTTAAGCTGATTTTCCTTCACTTGAGCGATCTCTGTGTGCTGAGAAATGACACAGCCAGAGCTCACAAAGACAAACTCAGGATTTAATCGTCTGTACAGGAGGAAGTCAGGACACCCAACTCACCTCACTGCAGCACAGAAAAGCTCCATGAACATTTCCACTAAACCTAAATTACAGCAGGTCTATTCTGAAGCTGCTGAAGCCGGTGACCCATGGAAGTGACTCAGGGAAAACGGCTGCTGAAACTGCAGTCACATTAAGTTTAACCTTCAACTTACCAACATGAATTAAACTCTCCAAAATGCTGCACACAGAGCAAAAGAAACAAAAGGAAAAAGAAACCCTGACTCTCTAAGAGTGTTTTGTGAATTCTCACAACTCTTCAGCTCCACCACATCTAGTGCAGAGCGCAGTGAGGTGCTAAGAAAATATCAAGACCCTGCAAACACGACACACATTCTGTTTGATCGTTAATGTTAGTTCACCGTTTATAATGGAGCCAGAAGGCTGGAGTCTGATGACCTAAAACTGTTCTTCCACACATGCAAGAGAAACTGCACAGCCAGCAGGAATAATACATGCAGTGAATATCTAAATGAACATTAAAAATGCAGAACACCAAGCAGGCTGATGCTGCCTGAATGCAGCCATGTGAAAAAGGGAGGGGGAAATGAGGAAACTAAGGGCGTCTTCACACCTGATTGTCCAGCAGACTTGGACCAAAATTGCAACATTTGCTACATTTTCAGCTGCTGCGGCTCTAAACCCTATGGAAACCTGTTCCCCTCCTCGCCTGTGGGGGCGCTCCACCAAGAACCACTAAAGGAAACGACTCTGAAGAAGACATGAGTGCAACTTCCTGTTTCACAAAATGTAAACAAAAATGGAGTAGGGTAGGATTTTAGCGGTTGTAGGATTTCTCTTTTTTATTTCTCCTGCTAACGCTAGAGTCACACATTTGTTTTGGTTATATTTACCCAGAATGCTTTGAGGTATACTTTGCTTATTGCTTTTGGTCTCTGGTCCGCCTGGCGTTCACATATCCATTCAAACTGCACCAGAGTTCACTTCAACCAAGCACAGATATAGTTCCAATCGATTAACTAGAAACCTCCGTTTAGACTTTCTATGTCGTAGTTTGACCTCCATCCATCAGAGGGCACCACTGCTGATCCCGAAGCAGAGTCCAGTTGATACAGAAACAAAGATGGCGGAGACATCCCGGAACGGGAAAAAGAACCGTCCAAACAGAGATGGTTCTCTGATTTAGCTTTATGAAAAATTTAGCCCTTCATGTTATGAAAAGACGTTCGTCCCTCTTGACACAAGAAAAAACTCAGGTTTTTAAGAAAATGGCCGCTTATCAATCAACCAACTTTAGATCAACTCATTAATCAATAAGTTGCATCTCTAGAGACAAAATGTAAGTTTTTAGGTGGAGTTTTTTTGGTCCACATCAGAGTTAGATTACACATTTGGACCAAATTTTCTACGCAAACAAACTACGGTTTTATTAAAGCGACTAAACGGAGCTGGTGTGAATGCAGGATTAAATCAGACCTGAAGGATTTGAAGGTTTCCTACAGCAAAACAGCGAAAACATCAGAACTTCAAGTTAGCCATGCAAAGCATTTTCACTCAAAATTATTTGGTAATTTTTGCAGGTAATGCACACTAGGAAGCAAGCAGAAGAGGTGAAACAGCAGCTAGCTTACCTTCCCTCCTTTCTCTGCGCTCCGCTCTGAGTTGAAAAGCTGCTCGCAAGAGGAAGCAAGAGGAGACAGAGGAGAAAACTTAACTTGAAGGCAGAGAAAGTTACAGGAGGTTCACTGAAACACTCCAACTCAAAGCAGAACCAGAAGGAGAAGGATGAGAAAAGATTGTTTTGTTTATTTTCGGGAAGCCAAATTAAAATGTATGAAAACGTGGAACTCACTTTGTCAACGCAGTCGTCAAAGAACGCCAGGCTGGTGTCTTTGTCGCTGACGAACGAGCATTCCTCGATGAAGCGGATGAACATCTGGGTCTTGGTCATGAGCGAGTAAAACTTCTGGTGAGAGCGGTCGCGGCTCTTCAAGAATCCTGCAGATTTAAAACATCAAACTTTAAAAACTGAGCTAATTTTACCGAGAGACGACCAGCTGCGACAGCAACAATTAACAGACTTCCTCCAAAAGTGTGCGGCTTGGAGGCTAAAGACTCCATTATTCTGCAAAAGGCCATAAAAATATTCTTCAGCGTCCATTTGTGTTGGTTTGGATAATGCACGGTGTTATTACTGTAATGGCCAATTTGGGACGAGCGCGAACGTCGTGAAACGGCTCCATAATAGATGCTGAAAGCAGCTTAACTGGGTAATAAGCCTCGGTTGTTATGAGACGGAGAGCAGGAAGAGCGGCCGCTGGCACAACGCAGAGGTGAGCGCAGAGTGTTTCCTGCACATGATTAATATTTTATTTGTGACAGAGGCCACTTGTAAGCAGGACCAGCAATTACATTCTCAGATTATATACTGTGCAGTTTCATTTTTCTAATATAAAAACACATTTTCTCTGTTATTTCAGTCTCTTTACCATCTGAAATACAAGAATCTACAAACAGCTTAACAAAACTATTCCATAATAAAACAAAAATGGCAAACCAGCCAATCCTTAATGTGGAAGAAGAAATTAGTGAAGTCTGTAAATCAATATAAAATAATTTTAAAATGAATTGGTTGGAGGTAAATCTAATATTTTAGAATATGTTTCCTTCTATAAAGATGGCGGATTTAGCTCATCATGTCCATATAAACACTAAATAGGTTTTCAAATGTTTTTGCTGATGCAAAGAGAAAGAATACTTACAAAAAATTGTGGGAAAGACAAAATTGCTCATGTTGTTTTTGCCTCAAAAACTGTTTTTTTTTATTAATGACTAAAGTACCAAACTGCATGACTAAGTTACGTTTAAGAGAGCTTAAAGGTAATTGTTTTACAGCAGGATGTTACTCCATTAATTTGAAGATATTAAAAAGGAGAATCCCAGATTTAGGCCCCGTTTTGAATTAATAGTAAGAATATGTCTACTGTTAAAGTTTGTCTTGTGCAGATGACACTGTACTTTATTTTATAAGGAGTTCTCCAGGGCTCAGGTTCAGGCCTTGTTTTGAATAAATAAATTTGTCAGTAATAAAAGTCCTAAAATCCTGGTGATCCTCAAAATATCAAACTCTCTTTCAGCAGCTATAAGCTGCCAGCCAAATTTCTGTTTTTCAGAAATCACTTACAAATCTCAGATATTATTCTGCACCACATAATGACCATATCAAACTCATACCAACTTACAAATAGTCAGACATTTGCCTTGTTTTAGAGCGCATATTAACAGTTTTGCAAGCAGCATTTTTTATTTTTATAAAAGATGAAGTGTTAATTTATAAAACACCTTGCAGGTTATTTTTATTATTATTATTATTATTATTATTATGACATTCTACCCATTGTACCTATATTGTGTATTTATTTCCTGTTTTGGTTTAAATCTCAAACTTATTGTTGTAACTCTGATGACCTTTCAGATTTATTCTGAACACTTCTGGTCCTTGTATGTCTCCATGTTTTGGGCACCAGACTTGAATGTCACGTCTAACTGATCAAATCCCCAGAAAAAAAAACAACAACAAAAACAAGAGTTTGATCATGTGAGAAATGAGAAGTTCAGAAGCAACCTAAATGTCACCTTCAGAGATACTGGAGTGGAAACGCTGCAGCTGCAGAATAATCAGGACTGACATTTTCAGCCCGACAGAGAGAGAAACTCAAAATGGTGTCATTACAGACATCATTATTTCTATATCTTTGTTTTTTTATAGTAGCATAGAAAGTGATTCAGACTGTACTCGTGTCCCACATGTCATCAACTTTCTTTCTTCCCAATTTAACAAATCAATCCAACTTCCTCCCACTCCAGAATATTCTGACTTATTGGTTATTTCTCCAACTCATTCAGCATTTCCACATGACTAAGATTAAAGATTAGCTCTGATTGGATTTAATCTCTCCAAAATACATCCGTCTCATATTTTCTTCATAGTTCATCTTGTATTTAACCAGTATTTTTATTTAGCTTGTCTAGTTTCTATTATGCAACACTGTGTATGCAATTATCAGAGGTGGGCAAAAGCTGTATTCAAGTAAGAGCAGCTCTTCTTCAACATATCTTTATTAAAGTATCAATAAAAAGCAGCTGTCCAAGAAATTACTCAAGTAAGAGCGTCTGGTGAATCTTTGGTTAAAATATGTTTGTTTTTCATTCAGAGGGTAGAAAATCCGGAAATGTTACTCAATAAGAGCAGAAATACTTCATAATAAAATGACTCAAGTAAAAAGTCCAGTGAAGTGAACTTTTTTTTTTAAAGTTACTCCGGTAAATGTAATGTTGTCTAAATGTAACTTGGTATTACTCAGCTCTGGCCATCATTCAGCTTCACCTCCCTATAAAAGATGAAAGCAGTTTCATCTAAAGTGGTCGACCGTTTAAAGTCTTAAGTTTTAGGAAGAGAATAAATAACTGTTTCAGCTTGCTGTTTTTGTATTTCTTCCTCAGGTTTTGGACAGCCATCAGAGGAAACGTGCCTCATTACTCTGTGCTGGACTTGTTAGGGTTCCTGTGTGAAGACTTTGAAGCGGCTGCATGGAAACGGTGGAGTCGGGTTAATTCATTCGGCCGCTTCCTCTGGGAGTCCGATCTCCGGCTTCACATGCAGCGCTGGTTTTGAAGTCATTTTGATCAGACGATTTCGGCGTGTTACCTTGTAAGTCAAAGAGCGAGCTGGCGTCCGTGGCCTTCTCCGACGGCGCCTGTGTGATGGGGCGCAGGAAGGAGCGGTAACCCTTTAAAATGGCCGCCATGAAGCGCAGGAAGGCTTCCTGGATCTCCAGCTCCAGCATGTGGAGGCTCTTCCCACAGCTCAGCTCTTGTGAGTCGCTCATGCTGAGCTCCAGCAGCCCGTCGGAGCGGTACTGACCTGGGGACAGAGCCGTACGTTAGCACAGGGCTTCCCAAACGTTTCCACGCCACGGCGCCCAAACAGCTAGCGGCTGGGGACTGAAAACTAGCAAACGATGCTACAAAATATGTAAAGAAACTAACTTTTAGAATGTTTTACCACTTTTGTCCTCTACTTTCCATAATGATTCCATTCGTTTAGCATAAATGTTGTGTTGTAGCTTCTGATTTTAGCTGTCCATGCTATGCTAACTGACGGAGCAAAGCAGCTATTTTGACTGTTAGCCAATCAGAAACATGAGCATCTCAAATAGCATTCCAATTAGACTTATGATAAATTTATCTGGGTGATAATTTGACCCAGAAATTATTGCTATAAATGATAATATTGTTGTTTTGAGACCATTTTCAAGTAATATAATGTTAATGGCATAATAATGCAATAATATTATCAAAGATCAATAAACTTTAAATTGTAATAAACATTTATGCTGTAACTGGAAGATGTTTTAAATATCCAAAATAAAATTAATTATGAAGTCTGTAAACACAATTATCCATAAAAATGGCTAGTTGAGACCAAACCACCCGAGCTACTATCGACGTATGAATAAGCCAAAACCAACCAATCAGAGCCAGGAGGCGGGTCTTAGTGCTGCCAATCATCTTAATGTACTAAACATGCTAATGGCAGAGAAACAACTTACCATTACAGAAAACCTGTTTATCTGCCGTCATCAACAAGCTATGCTAACTCCTACGTAGAGGAGCGCACACGGAGAGTGATGGACAGCGCCAAGACCCTCCTTCTGGCTCTGATTGGTTGGTTTTAGTGAGCCTTGGAAGAAGATGGAGTAGCTTGATTTTTTCACAGATTATCTCTCATTTTAAACTGTCACAACATGATGACAGTTGTAACAAATATGTAAAAAAATATATTTTTTAAATAAAAGTTCCGTCCTACAGGTTTAAATTGATCATCTTTGACTTCTCAGCTGTTTAAAATCAGTTTTTTCCAACATTGATTTTTCCTGTTGTGAAGCCAGTGAGTTCTCTATAAAAAGTGATGTAGTTGTTCGGATGGCAACTTTACGAATAGATTTAATACCCAGAGAGAGATTAAAGTATTACTGTATCAAACTGGATTAGCAATACATTTTTAAAACAATGAAGCTCAAGTTTATGCCTGCTTCCCCCAAAAGGACATGAAACTCTCTGGAAAACTTCAAAATGCATATCAATTTCCAGACTTCTGGCAGTGGCAGAGGAGATTTTCAACTTCACTGAATCAGAAAATTCATTTATTCAATTACTGCGGCTGAATAAGCAGCAGTTTCTGCGGCCGAGCCGCTCAGAAAGTCGACAAGAACAGAGCGAGACGCTGATTAGGATATTATCCCAGGAAGGATTATTTCTCAGTTTCAGCTTGCTGAATGAAGAGGACAAGGAAAGAGTGAAGAATGAAAGCTACAAAAATATTAGAATAATAAAACTGGGGATGATTAATGAAGCACATCAGTTTTTTTATTACCCCTAATTACCCAGAAAGCTTTAAAATTGCAGCTACAGGCGTAATATGAGATTAAAACACCTTGACACCTTCTATTCATGAAACTTTAAAAACATTTGAAGGAAAACGCGGAGAGTACTCACCGTCGACCAGCTGCTGGTGCAGATTACTCAGCACATTCATCAGGTTTTTACACGCTTTCTTTGGCAGGATCTTCCATGTGAGAGCGCGTTTATCATCGTTGCTGCAAAAGCAGAGAAGCAAAGAAAAGTTTGGCCTAAACCAACATCAAAGTTCAGACCACCTGCCAAGCTTTCAGGCAGGTAAAAAGGTCCACCGGTTACAAGAATAACTGCTGACAAAACGTGGATACTTTGAGGAAAAGTTCATTCATTTACAAGAAACCTCTAAATTTAAAAACTCAAAAAAAAAGAAGAAAAAAAACTGCAAAAAATTTCAAATTTTCCCAAAGTAAAATTTAAATACCTTCCAAACACTTTCAAGGTAAATTTTCAAACCAGTTCTACACTTTAGAGATAAAAACAATACGAATTAACTAAAAAAAAGTTTTTACTCACCAATATATGATTTTATATATGTAATATCTTGTGATAATATTCTACATTTTACAGCACCGACAATATAGCAGAGGTTTGTTTTAAAACGCCTCTCTCTGCTTACTGGAAGATGGTGTTTGTGTCCAGGTCCACACAGTTCACGTCAGGCGGAGGGTCGTAGAGGTCAAAGTACCGGGAGTCGACGCCGACGATGAACGGACAGGGAGCGCTCAACACGTCGGCCAGCGCCAGGGGGCAGAGCGGGATGTAGGGACACGGCCAGTGGAAGGGGAAGATCATCTGAGGCGGAGCAGAGAACAACAAACGTCACGCCGATGCTGACGATTCAACACAGGAAGTTATTCAGACCCTCTGAGCCCAAACCTCATGTGAAACATCTGAAAACTCACATTCCAAAGCAACAGTTTTATGATGTTTTATAATCTACTAATGGAAACAAATCTGTTAAAAACAAAAATGAACTCCTTAGAGGTTACCTATGACCCTTCCTGAACAGGTCAGGATAAGTCTACTGCAGGGATGCCCAAGGTGTGGCCCGGGGGCCGTTTGTGGCCTGTAGGCCATTTGTGGCCCGTGGGGCCATTTGTGGCCAGTAGAGCCGTTTGTGGCCTGTAGGCCATTTGTGGCCCTGGGGCCGTTTCTGGCCTGTAGGCTGTTTGTGGCCCTCGATCCCAGTTCATCCTGTTGATGCAGATTTAAAGTTTTCACTGATGGCAACATAAAGTTCAACACAAAGTTTTCATCCAGGTTTTTACTTTGGATTTAATTTATTTTACTAGTAAAAGGAGACAAAGATTTGTGGACCTGTGCTGTTAATAAGATTGTCAAAATAAACCAAAACTGAGCCATTTTCTTGTCTCTAAAAATACACAAAAAGTCCAGAAAAAGATGAAAGATTTAGTGTATGGTTTGCCTTTTTTTTTAAATCTACTATTTGCACATCTGCTGTCTACACAAATCTGATTACTTTGCTCCTTTCATTAAAATATTACATTTTTATTTGTATTTTTTATTTAGCAAGTAAAAATAATAAAAAAAAAAATTAGTTTTTGCTATAAAAAAACTTTNTGCCCCATGCCAAAAGNTTGGACATCACTGGATCCATATAAAACATGTTTGTTACATTTTTGCACAAAATCATTCTTACATAAAGACAGAAAAGAGTTTGATAATCTGACTGGACAACAAGCTGGAAGTCGTTCTCCGGGTTTCTGGTGTCAGTGTGGCGTGAACACAGTGACTTACCGACACCAGCGCCTCTGTGACGCTGGTCAGCACCGCCGGCCGTAAAGAATGGACCAGGATTTTATGTTCGGTGACGGCGAACACCAGCAAGGTGATGGCGTTCTCCGGACCGAGGTTATGGAGCAGAGTGGAAAACCTTCCTCCGCTGAGGAAGACAAACGTAAAAATCGTATTTAATTTCAGGAGTAAGGTCGGTAAGTTGCATCTAATGTCAGAGGGGAATATTTAGGCTGGTGAATAAACCTGCTGCTCTCACCTGAGCGGTAAGGGAGAACTGACAGGCTGGCTCAACATCAGGCTGTCATGAGGAGAAAGCTGCAAAAAAAATGGAGTCAACCAAGCAAAAACACCAAACACCTGCAATAAATCATTGAAACGTTCATCCATAATGGAGGAGCCAAACACAACCCAGCAGGCAATCCGAGAAATTTCACCGATTTCACTCCTGCAATTAAAGAGCTTACCTGCACCAGGATGCGAGGCCTTTGGGAGGACGGGAAGGGAACTTTGTGCATGAAGTGAGAAATATGTCTGGAAAAAAGAAGAAGAAGAAGAACGGGGGACGTGAGGCCAGAAATAACAGCAGTGGGTGGCAGAATAATGTCTTTTATGTGCAGCAGGGGGACATAAAAAGGCTGTTTCACATTACCACAGCAGCAGAATTTCAGGAAAAAAAAACCTTTTCTTTCAACAAAAAACATAAAAATTGCACTTTTTTGTTGTGTGGAGAAAAAAGAGACTTATTAAAGTGAAGGAATGAAGGCAGCACCATCCGAGTCTCTGATTCAACCAGCAGAAAATCAGGGCTGCTGGGAAAAATATAGACAATATCTGACAGCAATAAGCAACAAATCAAGTAGACCAGACATGATAAATTTACCTGGACGATAAATTGTCCCAGAAGTTGTCACAATAAACGATAATATTGGTGTTTTGAGACCATTTTCAACTAATATAATGGTAATAATGCAAGAACACATTGTCAAACATTAAATTCTAATGAACATTTAACACTGGAACTGTTTTATGTATTTATCCAAAATAAAACATCAGAAATGACAAATAAAATGAATTATGAAGTCTTCAAAAAAGAGGACTTTTGTCAACCAGTTTATGGTAAAAACAAGAGAGAAGAGAGAAACTATAAATCAGGAAAAAATTTAATTATTGAGCTTGTTTTAATTTAGTATGCGATTAATTGATTTATTGCTTATTGTGACAAGGAAACACAATGGATTTAAGGAGTCACCATTAAATTTAGTCAAAAACATATTTATAATTATGTAACATTTATTTTCTCATTAAATCAGACTAAAGGAATGTACTCATCTAGTGAAGTTTCCCATAGAAAGCACATCTGGACCAAGACTTCCAGAAACCGTCTACCGTTTCTTTGGCACCATCTGCTGCCTTTTTAATGATATACTTACTGAATTGTTAAAACTTGTTTTCAAGGTGACTCATTATGCTTCCTTGAACAGGTTGGGACAGATTTATTGGTGATACAAAACATGTTTATTAACTTTTTATCCAAAATGGAAAAAAATCCTTCTTGGACAATCAGATTTTAGTTTGTTTTAGGGCGTCTTGTCACTTTAAATCCAAATAAGCTGCTGCTAGCCACATCCCCCAAACTCAACATTTACACTTGCATGTGAAAATGGCTGCAAACAGATGCACAATTATACAACCATACATGTTTGAAAAACAGAAGTGGAGCCTACTGCACAAACAGAAAGAATGCAGCAAGTGGTTTCTGGACAGTAAGGCAACAACAAAACACTTGTCGTTTCCAGCTGCCATTGTACAGCGCATACAGCAGTAAAACCAGCTGACCAAACATGTTTGAACTTTGCTTGGGTTGCTAGGTAACGGCACAGGACCGTCAAATTTGACTTAGCATTCCAGAGGTTTTTGAAACGGCTCATTTTCCAGACACCAAAAAAATATTAACCTATTGCCAGGAAATGGCTGTTTTTTTTTAAGTGTTTGAACTGTTTTCAGAAACAGTTGAGAGTCAAATGGAAGTCCAAAAACACTTGTCTTTTCCAAACCAAACCTGCTGAAGCTGGGTTGCTAGGTAACCAGCTTGGCTGGGGATGCTAGGTAACACTGCAGTGTGACTCAAGTAACAGGAGGTTTCTGAAACGGCTCATTTTCCAGACACCAAAAAAATATTAACTTATTAATTTTAGTTTTTAAAGCAGCCGAGTTGTTTTTAGAAGCAGTCGAGACCAAAATGGAAGCACTAAAACGTACAAAATGTTAATTTTTGCATGATGGGCCCACTTTAAAGCGGCAGCGCTTACTTCTCGATGGGCAGCGCGTGCGGGCCGGAGATGGAGTATCGATAGAGGAATGTGAGGAACTTGCGGAAAGCGTCAAAGAAGGGCCAGTGGGACAGCAGGCAGATGCATTTGTTGGTGTAGACTGAGCTGGCACTGGCAGCGCCGTTTCCAGGATTGATGGCGGCATTCGCTGCAGAGCTGGACGGAGAGGCGTTGCATTGTTCTGGGCTCAGGAGGCCCAGCTGGGAGAGCTGCGTATCAGTCAGGCACTCCTGTGGGTAGGGCTCATAAAACTGGATGGCAGCACCGTAAACCTGAAACAGGAGAAGGCGATAAATCACATCCATCTTTTCACGCTGCTGCTCACTGAAACGACTTCCATCAGGACCTCCTCACTGTGTAACTCGGTAATTATCCGAGTGAATCCACTTCATATATGCTGAAGGTCCACTAGAGCTGGACAAACGGTTATTTTAGTAACCGATTAATCAGTTATTCTGATAATTAATCGATTAATCGGCAAATTAATCAATTAATCGGATTTTTAAAATGGCACATTCTGCAGATTTTTCATTTAATCACAAATCTTTTTTATGCATTATTAGAAATATATTAAAAGATGCAAATAAACAATACAATTCCTTTTTAAATAAGAAAATAACATTTTATTGCCTCAAATGAAATAACATGGCATTCCTTCACATGTCCTGACATCAACATGTGAACATCAATGTGGTGCAGGGCTGTACTTCCCTTTGGGATATACGCTTAATACTCTTAAAAGTAAACTTTTTCAAAAAAAGAAGTTACTCAAGTAATTGTAATTGGGTTAATGTATCTAGTTGTAATAACGTTTGTCCAACTCCAGAAAAAAAATGTGTCTTCTTCCTAATAATTAATTTTTTTAACTTCTGCTGATTCAGTTTCATATCTGCGCTGTTTGTCAGGTGATTCTCTTCAGGTAAACTGAGTCTTTCCATCCTGCTGAGCTGCGTTAAAAGTCGAGTCACACACACCTCCTGCCTTTCTCCCAACATAAACACACACACAGAGCCTCGACTCGGCAGCCGGTTTCGACATTATTTGAACTCCGACGCCGCTAAACCATCGCTGCACTCTGGAGGTTGTTTGTTTTCATCCCGATTGTGTTTCACCTCACGGTTCAGCGATATGGGTCGGCTCCGGCCTAAACGCAGCAGGAACACTTCACAAACCGAGAACCAGAGCGGTGAGGTCGCGTTTATGTTTACCAAGTCAGAGACTCAGCGACACGTTAGAGAGAAATCTGAAAGCTAAGATGATCAACCAAACTGTGAAGGGCTCGCAGTCAAAAAGTTACAAAATTATTCCTGCTGATAAAAACAGGAAACTGGAAAGATGTTTGTGCTACAGATATATGCAAATCTATGCAAATATGTAATTCCACATTAAATTAAAATTTTTCCGTTTTTTCTTCAACTTTATAACTCAAAATTCCAAATATTTCCAAAAAAATGATCTCAATTCTGTTGAAGAATCTGCAAACTCAGATGTAAAATCTAGGAGGGATTTTTCTACATTAAATACAGATTTTATTCGGTGGCATCCTTATTTTATTTTCAACCTTGTTTATGTAGAACTTTAAATAATGATAATGCACTAAAATGCTGCAAAACAACAACAGAACCATAAACAGAAGTTAAAAATTAATAGTAAAATGTATTTAATTTAAAAAATAAATAAAATATTGTACAAAATTATGAAAAAAAACTCAAAATATTAAGATTATGCATCATTTCTGACATTAAAAAAATAAATCACTGAGCACAAAACAGAAATGTTGGACTAATAACTGAAACATCTTTTAAATAATCTCTCTTGCATTTTTAGAGAAAAATAACTAAATGTCAAAAATTAAATCTCCAGAAAAGGTCAAAATTAAATGCAACCTGCTCACAAGTTTTGATGTTTTATAGATTTATAATGAGATTCTTTTGCATAAACTGGAATTAAATAATGTCAACGTCAAAAAGTGGTGTGGGAAACACAAACACATGAAATATTTAATGTGTTGCAACAGAGATGTTTGTGTTCTCTTTGAATTTGTCGTGAATTTGCAGAATTGTACTGACTGCAACACGCCTGACCCAGTTTTCCTTTAGGGATGCAATGCATCGTGTTTTTTTAGATGTGTTTAGTCTGCAGACCCAACAGCTGCATATGTGACAGTTACAGACTTCCTGTCACCAGTTTTTTATCTGATGCTGCAGTCCAGATGTTTGCGAATAAAAATGAGCGTTAAATGACGTCTAACCAGCTTACCTTCTCTCCAGACGCGCCGGTGAGGACGAAGGTGGAGAAAACAGGGAGGGAGTACTTGGTGTTTGCTGGCCAGCTCTCGATTGTTGCCCCCATGGGAAGGCAGAAGAGAGGGACTGACTCCGGCAGAGGGAAAGACTCGTAGTCCTCCTCCGGATATCTGCTGAATAAACCTTAAAGGACACAGAAAAACAAGAAAACAACCTTTAAGTGATAGTGAGGTGAACTCCTCTCTGCGGCAGCAAATCAAAACTTCTTGTGGAGGTGAAATTACTTTTCCAATAGTGCTAAAACCGTCGTTAAAACGCGCCTCACTGAGTCAGTGCAAAAACGCTGGGCTCTGTAATAATCAATCAGTGCTTTGTAACGAGGCTGTGGAGTAATTAGTCTCTGTCAGCAGGACAGAAATAATGAAACCCTGACTTCATTTAATGAGCTGTTCAAACCGAGCTGCAGCAAACTTTGGATAACGTACTTGTTCTGAACAATCCAACTTCCACGGGTCTTAAACAGGTTTTACTTCCTGGTTATGTAAAAAATAAAAAAGAAAGAATAAAACAGCATCAGACGCATCGCTCTGACAGTTTGAGCATTTAGCTGGGATTTATCTTTACACAGAGAAAAGGGAGGAAACGGAGTTTAAAATGTTTTTCATTTATTTATTTTTCCAACAGACTTAAAAATGTTTCCCTAAAATGATTGATTGATGGATGGATGGATGGATGGATGGATGGATGGATGGATGGATGGATTGATGGATGGATGGATGGATGGATGGATGGATGGATGGATGGTCTGGTTGCTATGGCTACTGCAGCTTCCTGTGGAAACAAACTGCAGAAATCTGCAGCGGTTTTTTGCTCCGACTCACTCAGTTCGTCAGAGACAGAATCAGTTTCCTGCAGATTCACCAACATGTTGCCGACTGAAAGTAAACAAAACTCAATCTGCCAGAAAAATAATCAATTTGACTTCTTAGCGTCCAAATCACACAGATGTTTCATGTTGAATAATAATAACAATAACGTCACCATAAAAAACACGGTTTTGATTTAAAGCAAACGGAAATACTGACAGAGCAGGAGTTTATCGCTTCAGGTTGAGACACGCTTCAGCGAGGCTCAACCTGTTAGAAAGGATGCAGAGAAATGCAGGCAGAGCAATCTGCATCCCCGAAGACACAAACATGCAGGAAAAACAAAAACAACTGAATTACATCGTATAAAATATCAAAATAAACCATGAATAACCTTCAATAAAGCCAAGCCATGCTGAGGCAAACCACAGCCGCGCTCATGATTTAAAGGGACAGTGTTGTGTTTTCCAGACACACCAGTTTTATAGCACAATCACAATAATGTAACATATTACAATTGTTATATAAAAGCCACATACATCAAATATGACTAAAAACATTTAGTAGTATAACACGTTGAAATTGGGCCTCCGTCCCTTTAAGAATCTCCACTTTAGGAAGTCATCACAAAACGGCTCCTCTATAAATCCTTTAATGTTTTTACCAGCGTTGCTCTGAGAAGTAGCTCCTATACTGAGCTCAGCAGCTCCACCAGGTGTTTGCCAATTGCTGCTGGCTAGTCTGAAGGAGCTGAGTGGGTGCTGCTTTATGAGACAGCTCCTCAAAGGCGGAGCTAGTTCCCACCAGCCGTTTTCCACAGCTAAATGGTTGCCATGGAGATTAAAGGATTTCTCAAACGTGCATGAAAGAATCAAGGTAAAACTCCAGGTATGTTTTACTGAGGGAAAAACTTGATGTAAAGCTCAAAAAGTCAATTTTAAATAATACTGGCCCTTTAAAATACCAGTCAGAACTGATTTCTCTCATTTCTGATGTCAGACGTTATGAAGGTTTACCTGCTAAGAGACACACCTGCATCAGGAAGGCTCACCTGCTTTGTAGGCGATCACGTTGGTTTTGGCCACAGATTTCTTGTAACACAGGTAAACGGAGGAGCCCCACTGCAGGCAGGAGCAGAGCAGGAGCACAAGGTGGACAATCAGAGACAAGGTCACAAGAAGGGAAGCAGGACAAGGTGAAGTAACTGCAGCAGCAATCCATTCATAAAAAACAAACAAAGTTATGAAACCTGGGCTTGGCAATGTGGCTTGAAAATAAAATCAATTTTTTTTTTATAACAGATCCAATTTCTGATTCTAAATCTTTTATTTTCAAAAAAGAGATAAAAAGTGACAGAAAATATCAAAAAACTGCTTTTATTTCAACCATCCCTTTCTGAGACTAATTTTGAGAACAAAGTTAAAATATTAGCAGAATAAAAACGCAACTTTACAAGAAAAATGTCTCAAAATTCTGTTTAAAAAAAAATAAAAACAGAAAAAACAACTTCGCAATTATGTTGTTTCCATTAAATAAGAAACAATTAAAATCACACATGAATAAGTTTGTTCACGTATAAGTCATTGAAAAACATGCACCCAACTACTTCCTGTTGTTGCCATCTTCGTGGTTTCTGCCAGTAGTAACAATTATTGTTCATGAGATTCATATAATGCAGAAAAAAAGTTTCCATTGCAGCTTGCAAAATAAACATATTTCGATAAAAAACTGCCTCCACTTAGCGCAGTTATATGGTCAATGACTGCGCTGCTGTTACAAATGTGCAAAAAACACAGCTAATGAAATGTTGTACACCAAAGAATCTTCATGTGTTAGATTGGTCCAGTCAAAGTCTAGACCAAAGTGAGATCATGGACCTGTGGAAAGACGATGCTTTCACCCAGTCTGAGCTGAAACTGTTCTAAAAATATCAAACAATTCAGTCTCCTGTTTGAACAAATGACTTTGCATATAAATGACTAAAGTCTGAATCCTTAAAGAATGAAAACCAGAAGTGTCTGAAAATGTGGGATAAATGGGAACGAGTTTGGCTGCTGAGACATGCATGTGACCTCTGAGTGCTGCAGCAACACAAGGAATGTTGCCACCAAGATCAATACGACCACATGTTCTTCCTGCATTTCCTGCACTCGGAAACGTAACTGGAAACTGGAGAGTGCAAGAAAAAAAGCCCTGCATGATTTCTGCTGGACAGAAAGACAAAATAAGATGAGTCCATGTTTCAGCTTTGTACAACAATAATGAAGGTTTTCCACACTTTTTATCAGCTCAAACTATCTGTGACGGTGCAGCAGAGTGAGCGTGCTTCATCAGTCTGATGTTTTCTACTAGAAGTGTCTATTTGTGACGAAATCTGGACAACAATGGACACTCACTGCAAAAACACAAAATCTTAGCAAGTAATTTTGGTAAATATTACTTGTTAAATTTTGTTTTACTGATTGAAGGTTTTTCAGTTGTCCTTTTGACTGAATAGCTGCTGCATTGTGCCTGCAAGTATTTTGCATGTTTTATGTCTAAATTAGGTGAATTTATTGCCAGTATCATTTATACCTGAAGCGAAAAATTAGCAGCCAATGCAGGCGATCGGAATCGGCAGCAAAAAACCTGATCAGAGCATCCCTAATAGATTTCATAAAACTGAACAGGTAAAACAATTAAATAATTTTTGCATTTTTAAAAATGAATGTTGTGGTTTAAGTTTGCCAGTTTTGGCCTCAGAGGCAAAACATTTGGCCACATTTGACTTAAGAACTGCTCTGAGTTTTCAGCAAATGGCCTCTTGTTGAGTCTGTATGCTCCAGTTAATGATTTGTTATTAAATTAGTTGACAATAATTTTAATAATCTATTAATCGGATTAATCGTTTCAGTAGTCTGAAGTGTCCTCACCATGCTGCTGTTGAGATTCTTCTCCACCTTGCAGAAGGTGTGCGGCGGCGCCTCGCCTTTGCTCGGGATGATGATGCAGATGTCGGTGACGGCCAGGGAGGCGTGCGGCTGGCTGTCCAGCGCTCGGCGGTACGTAACGTAGATCCGCTGGGAGGAGTTGCCGCTGATGTTGGCGGGACGACCAGCGGGCGTGGTCTGGATGAGGTGGCAGCCCTGCTTCAGCCTCTCCTTCCACTCATACAGGACTCTGCAGGGAGGGAAATAACCCATGCAGGTGCAAGCGCCACAAAAACAATATTTTACTGATAAATCAGGTTATGAGATGGAGGAAGGGCTTGGAGATGCATTTATTTAATATTTGATTTTTGAAGATTTAATTTGTGAAAGATCTGGATTTGTTTTTCACCAATTCTCTAGTGGGGTTTCCACAGTTCAGAGTGGCGGCCATCTTGTTTTACAGCTTCTATTTCTACGACAGATTGTGAGGGTCAGGGTAAGATTTCCGATTCATGAAAATAAAGTTAATGTTACAAGAATAGAAGTGCAGTAATATAATAAAATCTTAGCAGTATGAGAATTCCAACACAAAATTATCCAAGCTTTCTTCTTCATTAAAATGATTTTTTTTCTTATAATTTTGAAACATTCTGGTAAAATTGCATCTTTATTCTGCTAATATTATGACTATATTCTCATAATTAAACAAAACATTTTGTAGCTTGGCCCTAATACACCACTGTGTAACTCACAGAACGGAGGATTAAAAAAAACTTTTTAAAAATATTTCCTCTCATTTGTAATAACCTTCTTAAAATATAAAGCGAGGGAGGATTGATTAAAATCTGAAATCTGAGATTTTATTTTTAAGTCACTAAGTCCCGTTTTGGTGTGTAAAATTTGAGGAAAGAGATTTTAATACATTGGAAAAAGGCTGTCACATAACAGCGAAGCTCTGTGAAAACTTCAGACTCACATGAGCAACACTTTTCAAACAATCTGTCAAGTTTTTCATTCTAAAATGAACTAGACAAGCAAAAATATTTAAATTCAAGCTTTGAAATACTGTTGTCTCTACACATAGGAGAAAATTTAGATATGAAGAAATGTTATTTTAAAAGGTTTCTGTAAAAAACATGAAGGATGGTAATTCAGGCGTATTTTTTACAGGTCTACAGTTTTTGTCCATTTCTCTACAAATCTAGAAAACGTACAACACTACATGCCATCAAAGTCAAGAATAAAGACAAGTTTGGAGCAATAAATGCTAGAATAAAAGCTTAGAAATAGTTTGAAAGCCTGAAGAAACATCAATCAGGACCACTTTACAAGAGAACAAAGCCTCAGTGAATGCATAATAGATAAAAACAAAAACTTCTCTTCTCTTACTTATAGCAGCTCATCCATATGGAAAACATTCAGTTTATTAGCAGCAATTTATGCAGAGAAATGGACAGCTCTGCTGCACTGCTGCATGCATATTTCAAACATCACAGGGATGGCAGTTTGATCTGCGTTCAAACCCAAACTAACAGCACGTTCTGGTTGCGGCAAAGAATTATTGAGCAAAGAAAAATGTTCATTCTTCTTTTCTTTGCGGTTTTGACCCTGGAATAAAGACTCTGGCATTGATTTGAACATGTGCATATAGTACAAAAGTGTCCTGAAAGACAATAAATTTTTATGTTTTTTCTTATAAACTCATTTTCCTCACTGACTCTTCTGATTGGTCATCATCTGAACTCAAGCACACCAAGTAAAACTGTTCAAACATTACAAAAGAAGCTTACAGAAGGGTTTTAATGTATAAAAAGATAATTTTTGCACCTTTATGCCACTAAGATGTCTAAGATTTCCTTCAATCAAACCACTCAAAAGGCAAGAACTTAAAGTTAAACCATAAAATTGCAGTAATTTTCCCCAGTTAATTCCCTTATCCTCCATTACTCTGCAGGGTTTTTGTGGGAATATCTGAAAGCAAAACAGAAAACAGATCTTTGAGTGGAAAACTGTTAGATTCATAATTGCTTTTTCTGCAGGATCCTTTTTAAGATGCATCAGACCAGAGCAGAACTCATCCATCCATTATTGACAAACGCAGCATTTCAGTGGCGTTTCAACCTGCGTGTTTGCTGAGCGAGGCCTTGAACAAACCGCCTGAAAACATCTGATTGTGTAAGAAGGTCAAAGGTTTGAAAAGCATTTACAGGAACTGCTCTTTATTTTCAGCACTTTTATTTAGTTTATTTTTTACAGATCAGAGAATCAGCTTTCACTTAGAGACACAATCATGCTCTTAAAACAAATAGAATTAGGATTTAGGGTCCGGCAATACGGCTTAAAATTTACATTTCAATTTTAGTTTTTTATTTTACACCACGTTAAATTTACGATTGTAATATTTTTTTTTACATTTTTATCTTGAAAAAGACAGAAAATATTTTCAAAAACTGGCTTTCATTTCAATCTTCCTCTCTGTGACCTCATCTCAAAATCCAAACAATTACAGATGTAAAACACGCTTGTGAAACAAGATGGCCGCCCTGGGGATTTAAACGGAGTGAAGCTAAAGCTATCACTTTACGAGTTTGGGGTTGAACACATTTACAGACAAAGATGGGTTTTTTTTTACTTTAATTGCAAAATATAGATATTTTTGTACAGTTTTGGAATAAGCACAGCTCTAAGTGTGTTGTTCTTTAAGTAAACAGCCTTATTTGTGTCTGTATACTCCAGTTAGCGATTAATTGATTACTATTTTCAGATTCGTCACGATTAATCGTTTCAGCCTTCAAAAAAATGAAAGTTTGATATTCTAACTTCAGCTTACTGAGAAGTTGAAGCATCTATCTGATATTTCTGTTCATAAAACAGAAAAGCATTAAAATAGAAATGCCTTAAAGTTAAAAGAATCTGAAACAGCAGCTGTGCAGCTATTCGCCGCTGCATGGAGCAACAGCTGCAGACGCGTGTAAATGATGGCTGCACCCGCTCATTTAAACCCATTAGTCCTGTCAGGCTCACAGCAGCCGAGGTGCTGATTGTGTCTGAGCAGAGCGGCTGCATCAGTGCCAGATAAGCACTGAACTCCGCAGCGTCGGGGAGAAGAATGAGTCCGTTTAGCGTCGTCACCACCTGCCTGAGGTGTGTGAAGATGGAGTATTGAATTCACATAAGTCAGGTGATGCTGCTGAGGAAGAGACCCGTAACAGTGCTTCCCTTTCACCTTTCACTGCGACAGAAAACGGCTGCTGGCAGAACTGAGCACTCCCTGGAAATAAGAAGACTTCAGCCTTTTAGATCAACTTCAAATGTCCTGAAGCTGGAAGAGCGAAGCAGCAGGAGTGAATCATTACCAAGAGGGAGACAGCCGGTTCTCAAAACCAGCAGCAGGGCAGGCCTGAAACGATTAATCACTTCAATCGTGATTAATCGGTTATTGAAATAATACTCAACTAATTTAGTAATCAATAATGATACCTGCAGGGTGGTGCCGAAGTGATTAATTAAATTAATCACAATGAATCAATTATTAAAATAATTGTCAACTAATTTAGTAATTGATAATGAAACATGAGGGTAGGACTGACACAATTAATCGGATTAATCACGATTAATTGATTATTAAAATGGTCGTTAACAAATTGATTAACTTATAACACCCGAGGATAGGGCTGAAGCAAATAATCAAATAAATCGTGTTTAATCAATTATTGAAATAATCGTCAGCCAAGTTAGTAATTGATAACGATACTGAAGGTCTGATGGGATTAATCAAATCAATCAGTGAAAGGTTACTCACCCCAGGTCGATGAGCGGCGGTTTGTCGCGGCCTCGCCTGTAGCACAGGAAGATCTGCGGCGCCATGAGGCCGCCGTTGTTCAGATCGGCCGAGTGTCCGCTCGGCGTGGTCTCGATGCACACGAACCCCGGAGGAACCTCCTCGCCCAGGGAGCGGATCACCACCGCCACGTCCGTGATGGGCGCTTTGGGCTTGGCCGTCTTGTGGCACACGTCATCAAAGTGGATCTCCTGGTCCAACGGCTTGGACGGGTCCGTCAGACCGGCAACCACGAAGTAGTCGGCTACACGGGGGCCTTTGTCCTCCATCATTTCCCATCCCCGCCAGCTGCCCTCTGAGGGAAGAGACGGAGAGCGAGAGACGCAAACAAATGATTCATTTTTGTCACAGAAGGAAGTAGGGCTTTTATGCTTGCTTTAGCAGTGATTTAAAATATATGACAGCTATTAATCTTACTAAGTGGAGTTCAGATGAAGGGCAAATGGAAGAAAGTGAAAATGTGAGGAGGGAAGGCACACAGAGTTTAGGAAGTTAGCTGATGTTAGACTTAATGTTGAACATCTTTACTGACACAAAGGTCTCTGAGGACAAACCAAACTTCTGCTTACAGTTTTCAAGATCTTAGTGTTCAGTTCTCATGTCAATATCCCAGAGTTTCAACATTTCAAACTCAAATGTTTTAGTCTGAATTCGCCAGAATAAACAAAGATCTAAATTTATGAGAAAAAGAGAGAGAGAGGGAGACAAAGATAGAGAGAAAAAACTGAGGTAGAGAGCAAGAGAGAGAAAGACAGAAACACCAAAACACAGAGACAGAGAGATAAAGACAGAGATAGACAGAAAAACAAACAGATTCACAGAGAGAAAGTCAGAAAGACAGATGGCAAGAGGGAAAAAGAAAGACTAAGAGTCAGGGAGAGACAGATGGAGAGAGAGACAAAAACAGAGAGAAATACAGACAAAGGAGAGAGGAAGAGGAGAGAAAGAACACTGATGGAGGGAAGAACGGAAGGACATTTGTACGTATGGACAGATAGAAGGACAGGAAATGTTAACATATTCCTAGATTCCTCCCGTTTCCAGTCTTTCCCAGACCTGCAAATATACATTTCATATCTTTCAGACGACACAGAAAGCCTGTCTGAATATTGGAAAAGCGCGTCTCAACCTGGGATCCTCGTGATTTCATGAAGTTCCTTCGTCAGAAATCGACACGAATCCTTCAGAGAGCCTCCTTAGGGCAGGAGCAGCAGGTCAGATGACCACTGACTGCTGGCTGTGTCACGATACCAGAGGGTATTTCAGGAATACAGAGGAAGTGGGACAAATGAAGTGGAAATGTGACACGAAACGGCTTCATTTGCATTTAGGAGGAAAATTAATGGGGTGAGGAGAAGCTGGTGCAGGAGACGCCGTGTGCTGCTGCAGAGCTTCAGCAAGCTGTTATCCTTCACTTTTGTGTTTTTAATCTGAATCAATTAGGACTTTTACTAACAATTATTTTATAAATCGATTAATCTATCACATTTCTGATGATTAATTGATTAATCAGATAAAAAAAACTGGCACATTCTACAAATTTTTCATTTAACCTCAAGTCTTTTTATACAATATTAGAAATAAATTTATCTTAAATGTATATATTTTTGTACAGTTTTGACTTAATTACTGTTGTGAGTTTGTTCCATCATCAAATGGCCTTTTTTGAGTGCACACTTCAGTTAATGATTAATCGATTACTAAATTAGTTTAAGATTATGACAGCAATCGATTAATCATTTCAGTCCTAATATAACAACGCAAGCTTTACAAAAAACATTTTTTCCCATAAAAAATAGGCATTTCACCCATTTTTCCCCCCAGTCTTCCAGGGTAACCATGCTCTAAAGTAAACCCAGAATGATTATCCTCCTTCACTCTCTGCAGACTTGTAATTTTTGGGGCGGGTGTGGTGTAATCTCCCAGCATGCCTCACTGCTCACCAACAGAAACCTTCAGGACATGAAGGAGTCTCAGTGGGCTGCATTCATCCTTTGCCTGTATTCTCCTGGGATGAAGGATGCCGTAACCACATTTGGATCATGACAGCTGTAGGAGCAATTTGTTGCATCATTCTGAATAAAGCAAAACTTTGCAGTTAGTTTAAAAACAAAAAGGCAAAAACGCAGGACTAGAGTTGCAACTAGCTATTATTTTGGTTGACTTAATCGTCAGAATAATTGATTATTCTGACAATCGAGTAAAAATGGCACATTCTGCAAATTTTTTATGTAACCACTTAATCCATTTTTTTTAGAAATACATTACAGTTCCAAATAAACAAACACCCAAATTTATATTTTACTTAATAAACATTTTTAATGCCTAAATAGAACATATTTACAGACATGATTTTTTGGCCTAAACACAAAATGTATATGTGTTTGTGTGCATGTGTATATACATATATATTGTTTTGGATTAATTACTGCCATGAAAAATGATGTTGTTCTTTCAACAAAGTGGCCTTTTTTGAGTCTATATACTAAAACAATTAATTGATTAATAAACTAGTTGACAATTATTTGAAATTGCTTCATCATGATTAATTCTATTAATCGTTTCAGCCTTAAAACAGTTTGTGTTTCACCAGTTGTAAACTGATCTTAGCATGTTGGCACCCAAAAATATTTCACCCTATGGATAGAAAATTAACTCCAGGTCCAGATAAGTTTATATCTTCTGTTTCTGGTTGATTCAGTCTAATCTGCATGTCATTCCACTAATATAATGATTGTTTCTTTGCAGACATTTAGTGAATAAAGCGTGTTTGTTGCTAAAATACAACAGTCCTTGCAGGGGTTTAAACAGAGAACAACGTGTGTTTGCTGGCCTGGTTGCCGCTGCTGTGTTATTGACAGATGGTGAGAAGGCGCTGTTTCAGTGTGTTCTGGCTCTCGCGCTCAGATTACAAACACATCTTGCCTCATCATTTCCACACTCTGGGAACGTGATGAGAAAACAGCCACTGCTGATTTACTGTTCCAAGTGATTTTTATACAGCTGTGATAAAGCAGAAGGTATGGGTGTAAAGATTTACAGACATATTCTATTAACTGTACAGCCCCTCTCCACTCCACAGTAATTGGCACCACTGACAAAAAGGCATTAAAAGTGTTGAAACACATAAAAGACTCGCACAGAAAGAAATGGAAAAATACAGCTTTTAAATTGATCTCATTTATTCAGTGTTGAGAAATAATTGTTATTACCAGATTTCTGATGCCAAAATTATTGGCTGATTGATTTTTGGCCCTTAAAAAAGTCCTATAACAGCTCATTTCTCATAGCCACTTTTCAAAATGGGAAAGATAGAAATGCATATTATTTAAGTGTAGTAGAAGTGAGTGTAAGTCAGACAATCTACAGGGAATTTTATTATTAGCCTACATTTGGCCTGATCTACAGTCAGACCATTTATTCGAACAACTGGATTTGTAACAAAGTCTGATAAGTTTTATCTTTGACGGCAAGTGAAGTAGCATCTACAAAGCTTCCAGCTAACAGTAGCTTTGTTTCCATCCACTTGTCATGTGAATTTCAAGGAAATTTTTTAAATGTCACAAAAAAAGCTAATTATGGGTTTCCATCAACTGACTACGAGGATACATGTGTAGAAAGCTAGTTTGAATTGTGCCATTTCCATCAATCTGTTCTAATGCGATATTTCAAAATGTGGAAACTCAAAATTATGGAAACTCATTTTAAAGCATGTTGGTGTCACTAAGGCTCTATAACAACTACAAGATGCCATCTACATACCAAGTGGTTGTTTGGGAAAACCTTAACACATTGAGCTCATTTAATTTTATTGGGAATTTTAGCACACCAGTGGGGGCTTTGGTCAGATGAGACTAAGTGTGTTTTCACACCTGATAGTTTGGTAGATTCGGTTGATTTGGGACTCAAATTGCAACATTTATTAAATTTCCAGCTGCTGTGTTTCTCTTTCACACTACACTGCATCAAATAAACCAAACTAATGGCTTGGTTTGTTCCCCTCCTTGCCTGTGGGGGGCGCTGCACCATGAACTGCTGAGGGAAATGACACAAAAACCTCTGAAGAAGAGACTGACCGCAACTTCCTTCTTCACGAAATGTTAACAAAAATGGAGTGATGTCAGATTTTAGCGGTTGTAGGATTTGTCTTTTGTCTTTGGTAAGACTATGAACCGTTTCACCCTCTACCCTTAGACTCTTGCTTTGTTTAGGCCGGATTTACCCAGAATGCCCTGCGCTGTAGTCCACTTCCTGCTTTTGGCACGGTCTGCTTGGCATTCAAACCACGACAGAGTTCACTATAATCCAACTGAGACCAAGGTTTGTAGAAAGACAAGAGTTCGCTTTTTGGTCTACATCAGAGTTTGATTGCGTATTTACATTTCCACAAACAAATCAGACTTTCAAGACAAATGGACTGGAGTTTGATTACAGGGTCTGAATTCACCCTAAGACTTGTCTTTCTGTCCACAAAGTCCAGGTGGGTTTGACCAACTTTGCAAAATGTTGGCAAAAGTGGGGAGTCCAATTGGTTGAACTAAAACACATCTGTTCAGGACACCAAGTCCAAGACCACAGTCAGCGCCCCACTTCCTGTCTGAGCAATAGAAGAGGATTGTAACTGTTCCAAGATCGGAAAACACTGGTGTCAGAGGACACACTTTCCTCAGTAAGAAGGGAACAGAACAGAACATGAAATACGCAACGGGAGAGTAATTTATTTGTTAAAAATGTGAGCAAACCGAAGCATTGGAAAGTCTAACAGCTCTGCAACGGGAACATATGCGTGCAGAGAAAAGAGCATGGCCACACATTCTCTGTTTTTCACTGATATAGCGCCAAGCAGAAATTATGACAAACCCAAAAACATGTGGCTTTGTCGTAATGACTAAAAACAAAAAAAGCCATCCTGCAGTTATTCAGTTGAGAATCGTATTCAAAGCTGAAGTATAAACTTGCTGGAATATCATTGTGTGCCTCCAAAATGACGTTCCTGGTTGAACAAGAGGGACTTTTACATGAAGACTCAGCTTACTATAAAATAGATTATGACCTAATTCATTTCAGTCTGACAGATGAGAGCAGCAGAGACCTCCCACAGTATCACCTTACGCCCCTCAGAGTCATATGACGGGCCTGGAGACTGGAAAGCATCCTCGCCTGCTAAAAATATAAAGCCGCAGAAAGCAGGAATACTATGGCTTGTTACATAAGGACGAAGTGCAGCTATATGTGCCACATATATGGGACAGCCTGCTGAAGAACCAGCAGTCTGCAGAAATCAACACGGAAGGA